TGTACTAACAACCAGTGTACTAACAACCAGTGTACTAACAATCAGTGTACTAACAACCAGTGTACTAACAACCAGTGTACTAACAACCAGTGTACTAACAACCAGTGTACTAACAACCAGTGTACTAACAATCAGTGTACTAACAACCAGTGTACTAACAACCAGTGCACTAACAACCAGTGTACTAACAAGCAGTGTACTAACAACCAGTGTACTAACAACCAGTGTACTAACAACCAGTGTACTAACAACCAGTGTACTAACAACCAGTGTACTAACAACCAGTGTACTAACAATCACTGTGTACTAACAACCACTGTGTACTAACAATCACTGTGTACTAACAACCAGTGTACTACCAATTACTATGTACTAACATCCAGTGTACTAACAACCAGTGTACTAACAACCAGTGTACTAACAATCACTATGTACTAACAACCAGTGTACTAACAACCAGTGTACTAACAATCACTATGTACTAACAACCAGTGTACTAACAACCAGTGTACTAACAACCAGTGTACTAACAATCACTGTGAACTAACAACCAGTGTACTAACAACCAGTGTACTAACAACCAGTGTACTAACAATCAGTGTACTAACAACCAGTGTACTAACAATCACTGTGTACTAACAATCACTGTGTACTAACAATCACTGTGTACTAACAATCACTGTGTACTAAGAACCAGTGTACTACCAATCAGTGTACTAACAATCAGTGTCCTAACAATCACTGTGTACTAACAACCAGTGTACTAACAATCAGTGTACTAACAACCAGTGTACTAACAATCACAGTGTACTAACAATCACTGTGTACTAACAATCACTGTGTACTAACAACCAGTGTACTAACAATCAGTGTACTAACAATCAGTGTACTAACAATCGCTGTGTACTAACAATCACTGTGTACTAACAATCAGTGTACTAACAATCAGTGTACTAACAACCAGTGTACTAACAATCAGTGTACTAACAATCACTGTGTACTAACAATCACTGTGTACTAACAACCAGTGTACTAACAACCAGTGTACTAACAACCAGTGTACTAACAACCAGTGTACTAACAACCAGTGTACCAACAGTCAGTGTACTGACAACCAGTGTACTAACAACCAGTGTACTAACAACCAGTGTACTAACAACCAGTGTACTAACAACCAGTGTACTAACAACCAGTGTACCAACAATTAGTGTACCAACAATCAGTGTTTACCTGGAGTTTACCTGGAGAGAGTTTCGGGGGTCAACGCCCCCGCGGCCCGGCCTGTGACCAGGCCGGGTTACAACCAGTGTACTAACAACCAGTGTACTAACAATCACTATGTACTAACAACCAGTGTACTAACAACCAGTGTACTAACAATCACTGTGTACTAACAACAAGTGTACTAACAACCAGTGTCCCAACAATCAGTGTACCAACAATCAGTGTACTAACAATCGCTGTCCACCTTAATATCGTCTCTTACAACAGCTCAGATGTTACAAACTGCGTAAAACATCCAACTTAAGAGTCTGTCTAAGTCTCAGTTAACATTTAAACATTAATATTAGTTTGTGTTAATACACTATGTGAGCCAGCGCTTATGTGCCACCAAGTAATGTTGTTACATGTAACATATTATACCTGGAGAGATGTTTGGGAACTCCGTCGTGCACTACTGTTGATCTAGCAAGGTGCATAATTTGAACTCTTGGGGTCTACAGCTGACAGTTGTTCCAGTAACATCTGTGTTTCTTGCACTTCAAGCAGCTGACAGTTGTTCCAGTAACATCTGTGTTTCTTGCACTTCAAGCAGCTGACAGTTGTTCCAGTAACATCTGTGTTTCTTGCACTTCAAGCAGCTGACAGTTGTTCCAGTAACATCTGTGTTTCTTGCACATGCAATGAGTCTTACCTGGACTATCGTGTTTCTGGCACACAGATGTTTATAAACCGACAGCATTAAGAAAATATGTGTGATTATAATACTGCAGGTATCTGTTAGGACACTTGTAATGGTCTCCGGGATGACTAGAGACAGACTGATCTCCGGGATGACTGGAGACAGGCTGGTCTCCGGGATGACTAGAGACAGACTGATCTCCGGGATGACTGGAGACAGGCTGGTCTCCGGGATGACTAGAGACAGGCTGATCTCCGGGATGACTGGAGAAAGGCTGGTCTCCGGGATGACTGGAGACAGGCTGGTCTCCGGGATGACTGGAGACAGGCTGGTCTCCGGGATGACTGGAGACAGGCTGGTCTCCGGGATGACTGGAGACAGGCTGGTCTCCGGGATGACTGGAGACAGGCTGGTCTCCGGGATGACTGGAGACAGGCTGGTCTCCGGGATGACTGGAGACAGGCTGGTCTCCGGGATGACTGGAGACAGGTTGGTCTCCGGAATGACTGGAGACAGGCTGGTCTCCGGGATGACTGGAGACAGGCTGGTCTCCGGGATGACTGGAGACAGGTTGGTCTCCGGGATGACTGGAGACAGGCTGGTCTCCGGGATGACTGGAGACAGGCTGGTCTCCGGGATGACTGGAGACAGGCTGGTCTCCGGGATGACTGGAGACAGGCCGGTCTCCGGGATGACTGGAGACAGGCTGGTCTCCGGGATGACTGGAGACAGGTTGGTCTCTGGGATGACTGGAGACAGGCTGGTCTCCGGGATGACTGGAGACAGGCTGGTCTCCGGGATGACTGGAGACAGGCTGGTCTCCGGGATGACTGGAGACAGGCTGGTCTCCGGGATGACTGGAGACAGGCAATCTTTCCTCCATCACAAGTGCTAATGTAAACTCGGAGACATAACGAGCGTGTAAACATGTACATAAGCACGCAGGTGTGCAGGTGTTAACGTACAGGTGTTAACGTACAGGTGTTAACGTACAGGTGTTCGTACGAGGACCATTAAAGTCCAACTTGCGTATTTATGTTATTGAAAAAGACTTGTTCACATTTGTATAATTAATGTTCGAGTACAGGTGTACACGTTAGTGTCACGTGTGTGTACAGATGTACACTCACTGTACGGGTGTGATGTACATGCTTGAAAATATATTTAATAAAAGAATTTGTTGAATGAAGGTTGGTAGGATCTGAGAGGAATATAAAGATCTCCTGAGAATGTTGAACCTGTGTGCTGTTGTTACTGTTGCTTCTCCTGCTGTTGTTACTGTTGCTTCTGCTGCTGTTGTTACTGTTGCTTCTGCTGCTGTTGTTACTGTTGAATGAAGGTTGGTAGGATCTGAGAGGAATATAAAGATCTCCTGAGAATGATGAACCTGTGTGCTGTTGTTACTGTTGCTTCCCGCTGTTGTTACTGTTGCTTCTGCTGCTGTTGTTACTGTTGCTTCTGCTGCTGTTGTTACTGTTGAATGAAGGTTGGTAGGATCTGAGAGGAATATAAAGATCTCCTGAGAATGATGAACCTGTGTGCTGTTGTTACTGTTGCTTCCCGCTGTTGTTACTGTTGCTTCTGCTGCTGTTGTTACTGTTGCTTCTGCTGCTGTTGTTACTGTTGAATGAAGGTTGGTAGGATGTGAGAGGAGACAGGCTGGTCTCCGGGATGACTGGAGACAGGCTGGTCTCCGGGATGACTGGAGACAGGCTGGTCTCCGGGATGACTGGAGACAGGCTGGTCCCCGGGATGACTGGAGACAGGCTGGTCTCCGGGATGACTGGAGACAGGCTGGTCTCCGGGATGACTGGAGACAGGCTGGTCTCCGGGATGACTGGAGACAGGTTGGTCTCCGGGATGACTGGAGACAGGCTGGTCTCCGGGATGACTGGAGACAGGCTGGTCTCCGGGATGACTGGAGACAGGCTGGTCTCCGGGATGACTGGAGACAGGCTGGTCCCCGGGATGACTGGAGACAGGCTGGTCTCCGGGATGACTGGAGACAGGTTGGTCTCCGGGATGACTGGAGACAGGCTGGTCTCCGGGATGACTGGAGACAGGCTGGTCTCCGGGATGACTGGAGACAGGCTGGTCTCCGGGATGACTGGAGACAGGCTGGTCTCCGGGATGACTGGAGACAGGCTGGTCTCCGGATGACTGGAGACAGGCTGGTCTCCGGGATGACTGGAGACAGGCTGGTCTCCGGGATGACTGGAGACAGGCTGGTCTCCGGGATGACTGGAGACAGGCTGGTCTCCGGGATGACTGGAGACAGGCAATCTTTCCTCCATCACAAGTGCTAATGTAAACTCGGAGACATAACGAGCGTGTAAACATGTACATAAGCACGCAGGTGTGCAGGTGTTAACGTACAGGTGTTAACGTACAGGTGTTAACGTACAGGTGTTCGTACGAGGACCATTAAAGTCCAACTTGCGTATTTATGTTATTGAAAAAGACTTGTTCACATTTGTATAATTAATGGTAGAGTACAGGTGTACACGTTAGTGTCACGTGTGTGTACAGATGTACACTCACTGTACGGGTGTGATGTACATGCTTGAAAATATTTAATAAAAGAATTTGTTGAATGAAGGTTGGTAGGATCTGAGAGTAATATAAAGATCTCCTGAGAATGTTGAACCTGTGTGCTGTTGTTACTGTTGTTTCTGCTGCTGTTGTTACTGTTGAATGAAGGTTGGTAGGATCTGAGAGGAATATAAAGATCTCCTGAGAATGTTGAACCTGTGTGCTGTTGTTACTGTTGTTTCTGCTGCTGTTGTTACTGTTGAATGAAGGTTGGTAGGATGTGAGAGGAATATAAAGATCTGAGAATGATGAACCTGTGTGCTGTTGTTACTGTTGCTTCCCGCTGTTGTTACTGTTGTTACTGTTGAATGAAGGTTGGTAGGATCTGAGAGGAATATAAAGATCTCCTGAGAATGATGAACCTGTGTGCTGTTGTTACTGTTGCTTCCCGCTGTTGTTACTGTTGAATGAAGGTTGGTAGGATGTGAGAGGAATATAAAGATCTCCTGAGAATGATGAACCTGTGTGCTGTTGTTACTGTTGCTTCCCGCTGTTGTTACTGTTGTTACTGTTGAATGAAGGTTGGTAGGATCTGAGAGGAATATAAAGATCTCCTGAGAATGATGAACCTGTGTGCTGTTGTTACTGTTGCTTCTGCTGTTGTTACTGTTGAATGAAGGTTGGTAGGATCTGAGAGGAATATAAAGATCTCCTGAGAATGATGAACCTGTGTGCTGTTGTTACTGTTGCTTCTGCTGTTGTTACTGTTGAATGAAGGTTGGTAGGATCTGAGAGGAATGTAAAGATCTCCTGAGAATGTTGAACCTGTGTGCTGTAATAAAGTTGGTAGAATTACCGACAATGTGTAAAGTAAAAGGACACAAGTGCAACTAATGTGACATTTATTGTGGCAACGTTTCGCTCTCCAGGAGCTTTATCAAGCCATTACAAACAGTACATGGGCACAGAGGGTATATAAAGGCTCAGAGTGAGGTGAATACTAGTGAGGTATCATTTCGATGTTCACTAGTGGTAGTAGTAGTAGTAGTAGTAGTAGTAGTGACAAAAGTAATACAATATGGTAGAGCAATTAATTCGTACATGAGTAAAAGGATATAAAAGCTATTACTTGGGTAACATAAAAATAGGTTGGACAAATATAAACTGGAATGAGGCAGCTAGTTTCAGTGTTCACTCTCTGTGCTTTGTGTAGTATAACAGGAGAGACTATGTGATGGCAGGGTTTACTGTTTTCAGGAGGATTCTTGCTAAGACTTCGGAGATGGTGAAGCTGCCGTTGTTTTGTTTAATTGTATTCGAAACAGCGATCAGTGCTGATTCGAGGCACTTGCGTCTGCGGAAATTAGTTTCTTTGATCACTAATTGGGCGTCTCTGAATTTCATGAGATGATTGGTGGAATTTCGGTGTTGTACACAGGCGTTGTTCAGGTTATCGTTCCTACATGCGTAAATGTGTTCATTGAGGCGGGTGTCGAGGTTTCTGGCTGTTTCACCTACGTAAATCTTGTCACAGCCTCCGCAGGGTATAGTGTAAACTCCTGCATTGACTGGTTCGTGGTGCTTGGATTTTGTCCTGGTTATATCCTTTATTGAAGTGCAAGAAGCGATGGCGACTCTGGTGTTAGCTTGTGAAAGTGCTTTTGAGACGTTCAGTGCAACCTGACTGTTGGGAAGAATTATAACTTTGCTGGGAGTGGTGTTGATGCGTGGAGAATTTATGATCTGAAGAGCTCTTTTCTTGCAGTCTTTGATGAAAAAAGAAGGAAAATGTAACTCTGTGAATGTTTGGTGAATGTATGTACACTCCTCGTCAAGAAACTCAGGACTACAAATTCGGTATGCTCTTAGGAAAAACCCGATGATGATGCCTCTTTTGGTCTTGGTATCTTGACTGGAATAGAAGTGTGTGAGATCATTTTTATTGGTGGGTTTTCGATAAACTTGAAATCTTAGGTTGTTGTCTACTTTGTGAATGAGGACGTCGAGGAAAGGTAGCTTGTCATTGGACTCTTCTTCTAGTGTAAACTGGATCGCCGGTTCAACTGCGTTGAGCCTTGCCTGAAGATCCCGTACATCAAAACGTTTTGGAGTTATTACGAGGACATCGTCCACGTAACGTAACCAAGTGACGCTTGAAGGGATGATGTTGGCGAAGTGTTCGGACTCTAGGTGTTCCATGTATAAGTTGGCTAGGACGGCACTGATGGGGGACCCCATTCCCATGCCGTAGGTTTGTTTGTAGAGCTTGTTATTGAAAGAAAAACAGATTGAAATTAACACAGAGTTCAATTAAGTCAACAAAATCTCCGGGAGGTAGAGGAAGATTAAGGTCCTGATTGACTTTACGTCGTAGAACCTCGATGGCTTTTTTGGTAGGTACTTTTGTGAAGAGGGAAGTCACATCCAAACTGCTTAGTTTCTTGTTACGGATGGAGAGGTTACGGATGCGGTTGAGAAGGTCGCCTGAGTGTTTAAGATGAGCGGGGCTGATGGTCCCCAGAAGGCAGGAAAGATGTTTGGCAAGAACTCCGGCTAGTTTGTGTGGAGCACTGCTATTCCTGACGTGATTGGTCTGAGTGGAATATTGTGTTTATGGGTCTTGGGTAAACCATACATGTGTGCTGGTTTAGGGTTGCTTGGTAACAAGTACAGAAGTTTCTTCCCTTCTCTAGTGCGTTTGAGTATTTGTCTGGTTTTGTATAGAAAATCTTTGGTGAGCGTCTCCCACTGTTGAGTGCTGATGGGTTCGTATGTAGATTGATCATTCAAAAGGTCCATCATTTTAGTGTTGTAGTCACTGGTGTTGAGGATGACGACTCCACCTCCTTTGTCGGCGGTGGTGACGATAATGTTGGGGTCGTTGGCGAGGTTCTTAAGGGCAGTGATGTATCGTCTAGGAAGATTAGAAGTAGAAGGTTCACATAGAGCTGCAGTGAGAAGGCCCTGTATATATGTTACCCAAGTAATAGCTTTTATATCCTTTTACTCATGTACGAATTAATTGCTCTACCATATTGTATTACTTTCGTCACTACCACTACTACTACTACTACTTACTACTACTACTACCACTAGTGAACATCGAAATGATACCTCACTAGTATTCACCTCACTCTGAGCCTTTATATACCCTCTGTGTCCATGTATTGTTTGTAATGGCTTGATAAAGCTCCTGGAGAGCGAAACGTTGCCACAATAAATGTCACATTAGTTGCACTTGTGTCCTTTTACTTTACAACCTGTGTGCTGTTGTTACTGTTGCTTCCCGCTGTTGTTACTGTTGTTACTGTTCAATGAAGGTTGGTAGGATGTGAGAGGAATATAAAGATCTCCTGAGAATGATGAACCTGTGTGCTGTTGTTACTGTTGCTTCCCGCTGTTGTTACTGTTGCTTCTGCAACAGTTGTTACTGTTGACTGATGAGTTGTCCGTTGTGTACGTTGCTTTGTTTCTGGTTACGTTGATGAATTGATAAAGATTCTGAGAATGATAACTGTTGTTATTGTTCCTGAGTTGACTGTGCTGCTGTTGTTACTGTTGCTTCTGCTGTGTTACTGTTGTCTTGCTGCTGTGTTTGTTCTACTGCTGCTCTGCTGTTGTTACTGTGCTCTGCTGTTGTTACTGTTGCTTCTGCTGTTGTTACTGTTGCTTCTGCTGTTGTTACTGTTGCTTCTGCTGTTGTTACTGTTGCTTCCCGCTGTTGTTACTTTGCTTCTGCTTGCTCCTGCTGTGTTACTGTGCTTCTTGCTGTTGTTACTGCCCGTTTCTGCGGACCTGCTGTTGTTACTGTGCTCCTGCTGTTGTTGCTGTTAGCTTCTGCTGTAGTTAAGTTGTTCTGCTGTTGTTACTGTTGCTTCTGTGTTCTTTACCTGTCGCTTCTGCGGCTCCTGCATGTTTGAACATTAAAATGGTATAAAATACGACAGGTGTAGGTAAGACACTATGCAACATTAGGTATCTTTATAATGAAACGTTTCGCCTACACAGTAGGCTTCTTCAGTCAGTACAGAAAAGTTGATAATTGAAGCAGAAGATACTTGAAGACATGTAATCATCCATCTCCTTCTTAAAGTTTTAGGTGGTCAGTCCTCTCATCTGGGTATGGATGTTTACATCGTCTTCAAGTTATTTACTGCTCTATCAACTTTTCTGTCTTGACTGAAGAAGCCTACTGTGTAGGCAAATCGTTTTAATAAAGTACTCTAACTGTTGCATAGTGTGTCTTACTGGCTCCTGCTGTTGTTACTGGTGCTCCTGCTGTTGTTTACTGTTGCTTGCTGTAGTACTGTTGCTTCCGCGTTGTACTGTTGCTGTTCTGCTTCTCCGCTGTTGTTACTGTGCTCCTGCTGTTGTTACTGTTGCTCTCTGCTGTTGTTACTGTGCTCTGCTGTTGTTACTGTTGCTTCTGCTGTTGTTACTGTTGCTCTGCTTTCTGCTGTTGTTACTGTGCTCCTGCTGTTGTTACTGTTGCTTCTGCTGTTGTTACTGTTGCCGTTCTGCTGTTGTTACTGTTGCTTCTGCTGTTGTTACTGTTGCTTCTGCTGCTCCTGCTGTTGTTACTGGTGCTCCTGCTGTTGTTACTGTTGCTTCTGCTGTTGTTACTGTTGCTTCTGCTGTTGTTACTGGTGCTCCTGCTGTTGTTACTGTTGCTTCTGCGCTCCTGCTGTTATTGTTACTGGTAGCTCCTGCTGTTGTTACTGTTGCTTCTGCTGTTTGTTACTGTTGCTTCTGCGGCATCCTGCGTTGTTACTGGTGCCTCTGCTTGTGTTACTGATTCAGCTTCAGCTGTTGTTACTGTTGTTTCTTCTGCTGTTCTTACTATTGCTTCCCGCTGTTGTTACTGTTGCTTCTGCTGTTGTTACTGTTGCTTCTGCGGCTCCTGCTATTGTTACTAGTGCTCCTGCTGTTGTTACTGTTGCTTCTGTTGTTGTTACTGTTGCTTCTGCTGTTGTTACTATTGCTTCCCGCTTTTGTTACTGTTGCTCCTGCTGTTGTTACTATTGCTTCCCGCTGTTGTTACTATTGCTTCTGCTGTTGTTACTGTTGCTTCTGCTTCTCCAGCTGTTGTTACTGGTGCTCCTGCTGTTGTTACTGTTGCTTCTGGTGTTGTTACTGTTGCTTCTACTGTTGTTACTGTTGCTTCTGCTGTTGTTACTGTTGCTTCTGCTGTTGTTACTGTTGCTTCTGCTGCTCCTGCTGTTGTTACTGGTGCTCCTGCTGTTGTTACTGCTGCTTCTGCTGTTGTTACTGTTGCTTCTGCTGTTGTTACTGCTGCTTCTGCTGTTGTTACTGATGCTTCTGCTGTTGTTACTGTTGCTTCTGCTGTTGTTACTGTTGCTTCTGCTGTTGTTACTGTTGCTTCTGCTGCTCCTGCTGTTGTTACTGGTGCTCCTGCTGTTGTTACTATTGCTTCCCGCTGTTGTTACCGTTGCTTCTGCTGTTGTTACTGTTGCTTCTGCTTCTCCTGCTGTTGTTACTGGTGCTCCTGCTGTTGTTACTGTTGCTTCTGCTGTTGTTACTGTTGCTTCTGCTGTTGTTACTGTTGCTTCTGCTGCTCCTGCTGTTGTTACTGCTGCTTCTGCTGCTCCTGCTGTTGTTACTGCTGCTCCTGCTGTTGTTACTGTTGCTCCTGCTGTTGCTACTGCTGCTTCTGCTGTTGTTACTGCTGCTCCTGCTGTTGTTACTGGTGCTCCTGCTGTTGTTACTGCTGCTCCTAATGTTGTTACTGTTGCTTCTGCTGTTGTTACTGCTGCTCCTGCTGTTGTTACTGGTGCTCCTGCTGTTGTTACTGCTGCTCCTGCTGTTGTTATTGTTGCTTCTGCTGTTGTTACTGCTGCTTCTGCTGTTGTTACTGCTGCTCCTGCTGTTCTTACTGTTGCTTCTGCTGTTGTTACTTTTGCTTCTGCTGTTGTTACTGTTGTTCCTGCTGTTGTTACTGTTGCTTCTGCTGTTGTTACTGTTGCTCCTGCTGTTGTTACTTTCTGATGCTTCTGCTGTTGTTACTGTTGTTCTGCTGTTGTTACTGTTGCTTTCTTCTGCTGTTGTTACTGTTGCTCCTGCTGCTATTTCTGATGCTTTTGCTGTTGTTACTGTTCCTTCTGCTGTTGTTACTGTTGCTTCTGCTGTTGTTACTGTTGTTTATGCTGTTGTTACTGTTGCTTCTGCTGTTGTTACTGTTGCTTCTGCTGTTGTTATTGTTGCTTCTGCTGTTGTTACTGTTGCTTCTGCTGTTGTTACTGTTGCTTCTGCTGTTGTTACTGTTGTTTATGCTGTTGTTACTGTGCTTCTGCTGTTGTTACTGTTGCTTCTGCTGTTGTTATGTGCTTCTGCTGTTGTTACTGTTGCTTCTGCTGTTGTTACTGTTGCTTCTGCTGTTGTTACTGTTGCTTCTGCTGTTTTACTGTTGCTTCTGCTGTTGTCACTGTTGCTTCTGCTGCTCCTGCTGTTGTTACTGCTGCTCCTGTTATTGTTACTGTTGTTACTGCTGCTCCTGCTGTTGTTACTGCTGCTCCTGCTGTTGTTACTGCTACTCCTGCTGTTGTTACTGCTGCTCCTGCTGTTGTTACTGTTGCTTCTGCTGTTGTTATTGTTGCTTCTGCTGTTGTTACTGTGCCTTCTGCTGTTGTTACTGTTGCTTCTGCTGTTGTTACTGTTGCTTCTGCTGTTGTTTCTGTTGCTTCTGCTATTGTTACTGTTGCTTCTGCTGTTGTTACTGTTGCTTCTGCTGTTGTTACTGTTGATCCTGCTGTTGTTACTTTTGCTTCTGCTGTTGTTACTGGTTGTTTCCTGCTGTTGTTACTGTTGCTTCTGCTGTTTGTTTACTGTTGTTACTGTTGCTCCTGCTGTTACTTTCTTGCTGCTTTCTCTCTGTTGTTTACTGTTGCTTCTGCTGTTGTTACTGTTGCTTCTGTGCTATTGTTTACTGTTGATCTGCTGTTATTTCTGATGCTTTTGCTGTTGTTACTGTTGCTTCTGATGTTGTTACTGTTGCTTCTGCTGTTGTCACTGATGCTTCTGCTGTTGTTACTGTTGCTTCTGCTGTTGTTACTGTTGCTTCTGCTATTGTTACTGTTGCTTATGCTGTTGTTACTGTTGCTTCTACTGTTGTTACTGTTGCTTCTGCTGTTGTTACTGTTGCTTCTGCTATTGTTACTGTTGCTTATGCTGTTGTTACTGTTGCTTCTACTGTTGTTACTGTTGCTTCTGCTGTTGTTACTGTTGCTTCTGCTATTGTTACTGTTGCTTCTGCTCTTGTTACTGTTGGTTCTGCTGTTGTTACTGTTGCTTCTGCTGTTCTTACTGTTGCTTCTGCTGTTGTCACTGTTGCTTCTGCTGCTTTTGCTGTTGTTACTGCTGCTGCTGTTATTGTTACTGCTGCTCCTGCTGTTGTTACTGCTGCTCCTGCTGTTGTTACTGCTGCTCCTGCTGTTGTTACTGCTGCTCCTGCTGTTGTTACTGCTGCTCGTGCTGTTGTTACTGCTGCTTCTGCTGTTGTCACTGATGCTTCTGCTGTTGTTACTGTTGCTTCTGCTGTTGTTACTGTTGCTTCTGCTATTGTTACTGTTGCTTATGCTGTTGTTACTGTTGCTTCTACTGTTGTTACTGTTGCTTCTGCTGTTGTTACTGTTGCTTCTGCTATTGTTACTGTTGCTTATGCTGTTGTTACTGTTGTTCTCTGTTGTTACTGTTGCTTCTGCTGTTGTTACTGTTGCTTCTGCTATTGTTACTGTTGCTTCTGCTCTTGTTACTGTTGGTTCTGCTGTTGTTACTGTTGCTTCTGCTGTTCTTACTGTTGCTTCTGCTGTTGTCACTGTTGCTTCTGCTGCTTTTGCTGTTGTTACTGCTGCTGCTGTTATTGTTACTGCTGCTCCTGCTGTTGTTACTGTGCGTCTCGTGCTGTTGTTACTGTGCTGCTCGTGCTGTTGTTACTGCTTTTTTATTTTTTTTTTGCTCGTGACTGTTGTTACTGGCTGTTGCTCTGCTGTTGTTACTGCTGCTCTGCTGTTGTTACTGTGCTTGCTGTGCTGTTGTTAACTGACTGTCTCTGCTGTTGTTACTGCTGCTCGTGCTGTTGTTGATGCTGCTGTTACTGTTCTGGTGTTCGTGCTGAGGGTACCACCACAACCACCACTACTACTACTACTACTACTACTACTACTACCACACTACTACTAAGTGCCAGTACTGACCTGCTTGGATTGCAGAGCTTTCTGGATGAAGGTGATGATCATGATAATGTACCCTAACCCGGAGAAGATCCACACAACCATTACTATCTTGTACACCCACAGCCACCTGCTCCTTCTCTGCAGACCTGAATAGTTAACACACCTGTGTTACTATCTTGTACACCCACTAGCCATCACCTGCTCCTTCTCTGCATGACCCTGAAAGTTAACACACTGTTACTATCTTGTACACCCACAGCACACCTGCTCCTTCTCCTGCAGACCTGAAAGTTAACACACCTTTGTTACTATCTTGTACACCCACAGCCACACCTGCTCCTTCTCCTGCAGACCTGAAAGTTAACACACCTGTGTTACTATCTTGTACACCCACAGCCACACCTGCTCCTTCTCCTGCAGACCTGAAAGTTAACACACCTTTTGTTACTATCTTGTACACCCACAGCCACACCTGCTCCTTCTCCTGCAGACCTGAAAGTTAACACACCTTTGTTACTATCTTGTACACCCACAGCCACACCTGCTCCTTCTCCTGCAGACCTGAAAGTTAACACACCTTTGTTACTATCTTGTACACCCACAGCCACACCTGCTCCTTCTCCTGCAGACCTGAAAGTTAACACACCTTTGTTACTATCTTGTACACCCACAGCCACACCTGCTCCTTCTCCTGCAGACCTGAAAGTTAACACACCTTTGTTACTATCTTGTACACCCACAGCCACAACCTGCTCCTTCTCCTGCAGACCTGAAAGTTAACACACCTGTGTTACTATCTTGTACACCCACAGCCACACCTGCTCCTTCTCCTGCAGACCTGAAAGTTAACACACCTTTGTTACTATCTTGTACACCCACAGCCACACCTGCTCCTTCTCCCGCAGACCTGAAAGTTAACACACCTTTGTTACTATCTTGTACACCCACAGCCACACCTGCTCCTTCTCCTGCAGACCTAGTGTAAACAATATATGTAGTGTAAACAACATATGTAGTGTAAACAATATATGTAGTGTAAACAACATATGTAGTGTAAACAATACATGTAGTGTAAACAATACATGTAGTGTAAAGAACATATGTAGTGTAAACAATATATGTAGTGTAAACAACATATGTAGTGTAAACAACATATGTAGTGTAAACAATATATGTAGTGTAAACAACATATGTAGTGTAAACAACATATGTAGTGTAAATAACATATGTAGTGTAAACAATACATGTAGTGTAAACAACATATGTAGTGTAAACAATATATGTAGTGTAAACAACATATGTAGTGTAAACAATATATGCAGTGTAAACAACATATGTAGTGTAAACAATATATGTAGTGTAAACAACATATGTAGTGTAAACAATACATGTAGTGTAAACAACATATGTAGTGTAAACAACATATGTAGTGTAAACAACATATGTAGTGTAAACAATACATGTAGTGTAAACAACATATGTAGTGTAAACAATATATGTAGTGTAAACAACATATGTAGTGTAAACAATATATGTAGTGTAAACAACATATGTAGTGTAAACAATACATGTAGTGTAAACAATACATGTAGTGTAAACAACATATGTAGTGTAAACAATATATGTAGTGTAAACAACATATGTAGTGTAAACAATACATGTATGTAAACAACAAATGTAGTGTAAACAATACATGTAGTGTAAACAACATATGTAGTGTAAACAATAAATGTAGTGTAAACAACATATGTAGTGTAAACAACATATATAGTGTAAACAACATATGTAGTGTAAACAATACATGTAGTGTAAACAACATATGTAGTGTAAACAACATATGTAGTGTAAACAATAACATGTAGTGTAAAACAACATATGTAGTGTGAACAACATACGTAGTGTAAACAACATATGTAGTGTAAACAACATATGTAGTGTAAACAACATATGTAGTGTAAACAATACATGTAGTGTAAACAACATATGTAGAGTAAACAATACATGTAGTGTAAACAATACATGTAGTGTAAACAACATATGTAGTGTAAACAACATATGTAGTGTAAACAATACATGTAGTGTAAACAACATATGTAGTGTAAACAATACATGTAGTGTAAACAACATATGTAGTGTAAACAATACATGTAGTGTAAACAACATATGTAGTGTAAACAACATATGTAGTGTAAACAATACATGTAGTGTAAACAACATATGTAGAGTAAACAATACATGTAGTGTAAACAATACATGTAGTGTAAACAATACATGTAGAGTAAACAATACATGTAGTGTAAACAACATATGTAGAGTAAACAATACATGTAGTGTAAACAACACATGTAGAGTAAACAATACATGTAGTGTAAACAATACATGTAGTGTAAACAATACATGTAGTGTAAACAATACATGTAGTGTAAACAACATATGTAGTGTAAACAATATATGTAGTGTAAACAACATATGTAGTGTAAACAATACATGTAGTGTAAACAATATATGTAGTGTAAACAATATATGTAGTGTAAACAACATATGTAGTGTAAACAACATATGTAGTGTAAACAATACATGTAGTGTAAACAATACACGTAGTGTAAACAATACATGTAGTGTAAACAACATCTTTCAACACTTTCAACACACCGGCCATATCCCACCGAGGCGGGGTGGCCCAAAAGGAAAAACGAAAGTTTCTCCTTTTACATTTAGTAATATATACAGGAGAAGGGGTTACTAGCCCCTTGCTCCCGGCATTTTAGTCGCCTCTTACAACACGCATGGCTTACGGAGGAAGAATTCTGTTCCACTTCCCCATGGAGATAAGAGGAAATAAACAAGAACAAGAACTAGAAAGAAAATAGAAGAAAACCCAAAGGGGTGTGCATATATATGCTTGTACATGTATGTGTAGTGTGACCTAAGTGTAAGTAGAAGTAGCAAGACATACCTGAAATCTTGCATGTGTATGAGGTGTAAACAACATATGTAGTGTAAACAACATATGTAGTGTAAACAACATATATAGTGTAAACAATACATGTAGTGTAAACAATACATGTAGTGTAAACAATATATGTTGTGTAAACAACATATGTAGTGTAAACAACATATGTAGTGTAAACAACACATGTAGTGTAAACAATACATGTAGTGTAAACAATACATGTAGTGTAAACAATATATGTAGTGTAAACAACATATGTAGTGTAAACAACATATGTAGTGTAAACAATACATGTAGTGTAAACAATACATGTAGTGTAAACAATATATGTAGTGTAAATAACATATGTAGTGTAAACAATATATGTAGTGTAAATAACATATGTAGTGTAAACAATATATGTAGTGTAAACAATATATGTAGTGTAAATAACATATGTAGTGTAAACAATATATGTAGTGTAAACAACATATGTAGTGTAAACAATACATGTAGTGCAAACAACATATGTAGTGTAAACAACATATGTAGTGTAAACAACATATGTAGTGTAAACAACATATGTAGTGTAAACAATACATGTAGTGTAAACAATATATGTAGTGTAAACAATATATGTTGTGTAAACAATATATGTAGTGTAAATAACATATGTAGTGTAAACAACATATGTAGTGTAAACAACATATGTAGTGTAAACAGCATATGTAGTGTAAACAACATATGTAGTGTAAACAATATATGTAGTGTAAACAAAATAGAGAAAATAGTGATGGTGCCAAAAAAATCAATGAACTGGAGGACAAATTGTGTAGAAACTGGAAGACATGTTGAACTAGTACACTGGAAGACATGTTGAATTAGTACACTGGAAGACATGTTGAACTAGTACACTGGAAGACATGTTGAATTAGTACACTGGAAGACATGTTGAATCAGTGCACTGGAAGACATGTTGAACTAGTGCACTGGAAGACATGTTGAATTAGTACACTGGAAGACATGTTGAATTAGTACACTGGAAGACATGTTGAACTAGTACACTGGAAGACATGTTGAATTAGTACACTGGAAGACATGTTGAACTAGTACACTGGAAGACATGTTGAATTAGTACACTGGAAGACATGTTGAATTAGTACACTGGAAGACATGTTGAACTAGTACACTGGAAGACATGTTGAACTAGTACACTGGAAGACATGTTGAATTAGTACACTGGAAGACATGTTGAACTAGTACACTGGAAGACATGTTGAATTAGTACACTGGAAGACAGTTGAACTAGTACACTGGAAGACATGTTGAACTAGTACACTGGAAGACATGTTGAATTAGTGCACTGGAAGACATGTTGAATTAGTACACTGGAAGACATGTTGAACTAGTGCACTGGAAGACATGTTGATTAGTGCACTGGAAGACATGTTGAATTAGTACACTGGAAGACATGTTGAATTAGTACACTGGAAGACATGTTGAATTAGTACACTGGAAGACATGTTGAATCAGTGCACTAGAAGACATGTTGAACTAGTGCACTGGAAGACATGTTGAATTAGTACACTGGAAGACATATTGAACTAGTGCACTGGAAGACATGTTGAATTAGTGCACTGGAAGACATGTTGAATTAGTGCACTGGAAGACATGTTGAACTAGTACACTGGAAGACATGTTGAACTAGTGCACTGGAAGACATGTTGAATTAGTACACTGGAAGACATGTTGAATTAGTACACTGGAAGACATGTTGAACTAGTGCACTGGAAGACATGTTGAATTAGTGCACTGGAAGACATGTTGAATTAGTACACTGGAAGACATGTTGAATTAGTACACTGGAAGACATGTTGAATTAGTACACTGGAAGACATGTTGAACTAGTGCACTGGAAGACATGTTGAATTAGTGCACTGGAAGACATGTTGAACTAGTGAACTGGAAGACATGTTGAATTAGTGCACTGGAAGACATGTTGAATTAGTACACTGGAAGACATGTTGAACTAGTGCACTGGAAGACATGTTGAACTAGTGCACTGGAAGACATGTCGAATTAGTACACTGGAAGACATGTCGAATTAGTACACTGGAAGACATGTTGAATTAGTACACTAAAAGACATGTTGAATTAGTACACTGGAAGACATGTTGAATTAGTGCACTGGAAGACATGTTGAACTAGTGCACTGGAAGACATGTTGAACTAGTGCACTGGAAGACATGTCGAATTAGTACACTGGAAGACATGTTGAATTAGTACACTAAAAGACATGTTGAATTAGTACACTGGAAGACATGTTGAACTAGTGCACTGGAAGACATGTTGAATTAGTGCACTGGAAGACATGTTGAATTAGTGCACTGGAAGACATGTTGAATTAGTGCACTGGAAGACATGTTGAACTAGTACACTGGAAGATATGTTGAACTAGTGCACTGGAAGATATGTTGAATTAGTGCACTGGAAGATATGTTGAACTAGTACACTGGAAGATATGTTGAACTAGTGCATTGGAAGACATGTTGAACTAGTG